TGATGGGGGGAAGAAGGGAGGTAGGAGAGAGGCAGAAGAAAGAGGTGTATGGAGAGCAGAAGAGCCAATAATGGGTTTTTATCTTTCTGGGTGTTGATGGCAAGAGGAACTGATGTAATTAGTACTTAATATAATAGGATATTGGCTATGTAATAGTATACATGTGATTATATGTTATGAAAAGAGAAAATAAAAAGTATACTTCATCAAAAAAAAAGAGAAAGTCCAGTTGTCTCTTGAAAAAAGGCACCTTTGGGACATCCAACCCTGTTATTCTGTTGTAAAGGATTAAACTTAAATAAGATCCTTTTTTTTTGAGTCTCGTTTGAATGAGAAGCCAGCAGGCATCCCAGGTTTGCAGGAAACGAAGCATCCTGAAACAGGGCAATGGAAAGGAAAGATAAGCCCTGGTTCATCTGCAGCCACCAAACCCCACAAAGTGGCTTTTTGGCCAAATCTACTCTACAAGTGGCTTCTGGGGGGAGCCGGGGCAAGATACCTGACCTGAGCTGCTGCAAGAAACGGGAGGCAGCATAAATCAAATCCATTTTGTACAGAGGAACGACTGAGTCTGTCATCTGCACCTCTATAACTGTCTGGTTTGGTTTTGCACCCAACAGGACAGAGACAGACTCCAGAGGATAATCAGAACTGCAGAAGAATCATTGGCTACCAACCTGCCTTCCATTGAGGACCTGCACACTGCACGAGTCAAAAGGAGGGCTGTGAAAATATCTACAGACCCCTCACATCCTGGACGTCAATTGTTTCAACTCCTACCCTCAAAATGAGGCTATAAAGCACTGCACACCAGAACAACGAAACACAAGGACAGTTTTTCCCCCAAACGCCATCACTCTGCTAAACCGATAATTCCCACAACACTGTCAAACTATTTACTAAGACTGTATTACTATTCTTCTTCTCATCCCTCTCTCCTCCCACTTATGACTATAACCTTGTTGCTAGTATTTTTACGATTTATACTGTCTTATTTGTTTCCTAGTATGATTAGATTGCTTATTAGTAACCCGTGACCATCACTAAGTGTTGTATCTTATGATTCTTGATGAATGTGTTCTATTTTATTTTTCTTTATGTCCACTGAGAGCATTTGCCCCCCACCAAAGGCAAAGTCCTAGTGTGTCCAATCACACTTGGCCAATAAAGAATGGAATTCAATTCCTATTTTATTCTTCTTTCTTTCATTCTATTCTATTTCCATTCCATTCCATATTTTCTTTTCTATTCTATATATTTTGCAAAAATATTTGGGGGGGGGGAAATGTCCCTCTCCCCCTCTTCNAAAGAAAAAGAAAAAGAAAAAGAAAAGGAGGAGAATTGACTTAAAATTGTAAGTTTTGAGGCGAAGCAAGGCATCCTACCTCAGGAACATTTCTCTTAAATTCCTGGCTGAGTTCAATTAAATGCTTGTGCGAGTGCTCGCTTTCCTCCTGACGGGCAGCCAGTTCAGAAGCCACAGAATTCAGTTCCTTCTGGAACAAAAGAAAGAACAAAAAAAAAAAAGGGGGGGGGAAACATTAGGAGAAATACACGAATGCGAAAGGCAATTATTTCCTTGAGCCCATTTCCCGAGGCTCCCTTGAGCATCCGAAGGCACAAAGCAGCAGAGCCCCCATCCAGTCCTGTAGCCACCGATCCACCTGCCGGGACTTTTGAAAACTCTTGCCATTCCTTTGGGACTCTTAAATCCATTCCACCTGCCACACCTGGGCTTCCAAGTCAGGTGTGGAAGACAAGGTGTGGGAATAGGACAAAGCCCATTCTCCACCAAAGGGACCGTATCAGTGGAGAGTTCCTGCCGGTCCGGTCCAGTACAGCCGTACCGGTAGTAGCCGGGAGCAGCTGAGAACTTACCGGTACGGTGGCTCGTTTGACCCACCTGCCCACCCGCGTTCTATACCTGTTTTTAAAGCAACTGGCCAATTGCTGTGTGAGCCCCAACAAGTGGCTGGGCATCGCAGGGGCGGTGGATTGCACATGCGTGCGCGACCCGCGTGCAAGAACAGGACACATGGCCCCGTGAGCAGCACACAGAGAGCGACAATAAGAACGTCCAACCACTGGACCATAGATCCCGTGACGCCCGTCCCTCCGTCTCCCTATCCCGATTATCTCAAAAGGAGACCAAATCGCGCATTCGCAAAGGAAGCACAAACCCACATCAGATCTGTTTGCATGTAAACAAATAAATACAGATGGGGGGGGGGTCAAACTAATGAAGGCCCTCGAGGGATCAATATTTTCAATAAGCAGATTTCTTATTTTTTTTCCCCCTTAGCGACTGCAAGGAAAAACATTGCAATGGCGTCAAAATAATAAGAGCACCATATTGCGCTCCACGCTACCATCCATTAAACGCATCGGCCGTGGAAGGAAGGCGTCCAGATTGCGACTAATTTAGGTGTGTGGCTTGTTTTTTAAATAGTGTTTGTAAATAATCTTTTATAGGGACGCGGCGGCTCAGTGGCTAAGACGCTGAGCTTGTCGATCAGAAAGGGGATTGGCAGTTCGGCAGTTCGAATCCCTAGTGCCGCATAACGGAGGGAGTTCCCGTCACTTGTCCCAGCTTCTGCCAACCTAGCAATTCGAAAGCAGGTTAAAAAATGCAAGTAGAAAAACAGGGACCACTTTTGGTGGGAAGGGAACAGCGTTCCGTGCGCCTTCGGCATTGAGTCATGCCGGTCGCATGACCACGGAGACGTCTTCGGACAGCGCTGGCTCTTCGGCTTTGAAACGGAGATGAGCAGCGCCACCCTAGAGTCGGGAACGACTAGCACAGATGTGCGAGGGGGGGAATCTTTACCTTTACTAAATAATCCTTTAAAAGATCTGGATGGCTTTTGAATTGCGTGGGATTTCGGAGTGGGGATTTTGGGAGGATGTTTTGGCCGGCTGGGGAATTCTGGGAGTGACCTCGGTGGAGAAGCCCTGCTTGGAAGCAATGAGAGCATCAAGCATTCATGGCTCTCCTTCCCAGCCCCTTCCCAGCCCTGATCTTTCTGGCTCTGTGGAGGAAAAGCCAGATGGTTGTTTTCAAAAATGACAGAGCCCAGCCCCCCCCCACCCCCCCAAGGGCAGAGAGGCAGGAA